ACAGCAAAGGGTCCTCAGTTGGGGGTTGGGGAACAGGGAGCCCACTGTGCCCCCAGTTCACTGTGGGGCCTTGGGCAAGCTTCATCCTGCCTGCTCTGAACCCCTGTCCTTTCTCCTCTTCTATATGAAGAGGGCATAGGAAGAGACCAGTGGTTCTCAAACGAGGCTCCAGGGCACCTGTGGGTTCCACAGAGAAGCACTATGAGTTTGTCAAGGGGTCACTGAGCCAGTGAGACTTCAGGCAGACACTAGCCTGCTTCCTTTAAATCAATCAGGGATGTTTTCATTTCTTCTTTTTGTTTTTCATTTATTTTTATTAGTTGGAGGCTAATTGCTTTACAATATTGTAGTGGTTTTTGTCATACATTGACATGAATCAGCCATGGATTTACATGTGTTCCCCATCCCGTTCCCCCCTCCCGCCTCCCTCCCCATCCCATCCCTCTGGGTCTTCCCAGTGCACCAGCCCTGAGCACTTGTCTCACGCATCCAACCTGGGCTGGTGATCTGTTTCACCCTTGATAGTATACTTGTTTCAATGCTATTCTCTCAGAACATCCCACCTTTGCCTTATCCCACAGAGTCCCAAAGTCTGTTCTGTACATCTGTGTCTCTTTTTCTATTTTGCATATAGGGTTATCATTACCATCTTTTTAAATTCCATATATATGCGTTAGTATGCTGTATTGGTCTTTATCTTTCTGGCTTACTTCACTCTGTATAATGGGCTCCAGTTTCATCCATCTCATTAGAACTGATTCAGATGAATTTCTTTTTAATGGCTGAGTAATATTCCATTGTGTATATGTACCATAGCTTCCTTATCCATTCGTCTGCTGATGGGCACCTAGGTTGCTTCCATGTCCTGGCAATTATAAACAGTGCTGCGATGAACATTGGGGTGCACGTGTCTCTTTCAGATCTGGTTTCCTTGGTGTGTATGCCCAGAAGTGGGATTGCTGGGTCATATGGCAGTTCTATTTCCAGCTTTTCAAGGAATCTTCACAGTGTTCTCCATAGTGGCTGTACTAGTTTGCATTCCCACCAACAGTGTAAGAGGGTTCCCTTTTCTCCACACCCTCTCCAGCATTTATTGCTTGTAGACTTTTGGATAGCAGCCATCCTGACTGGCGTATAATGGTACCTCGTTGTGGTTTTGATTTGCATTTCTCTGATAATGAGTGATGTTGAGCATCTTTTCATGTGTTTGTTAGCCATCTGTATGTCTTCTTTGGAGAAATGTCTGTTTAGTTCTTTGGCCCATATTTTGATTGGGTCATTTATTTTTCTGAAATTGAGCTGCAGGAGTTGCTTGTATATTTTTGAGATTAATCCTTTGTTGCTTCATTTGCTATTATTTTCTCCCATTCTGAGGGCTGTTTTGAAAGTTTTCATTTCTATGCACTATGCATTTTGAGTTCCGGGCAAAGTTTCTTTGGAAAACAATAACATCAGGAAAGGATTCCATGGCTACAAAAGGTTTGAGAAACCACTGGACCCTAAGGGAACTTCCAGCTCCAATCCAAGAATATTTAGGCCTAAATATTTTCTTCCAAGTTGTATTTGACAAGCATTTATTCCACACTTACTACATGCCAGGACTGTTCTCAGCACCCTACAGACTGTGATGTGCTTCATTCACTAGAACACCTCCCAGCTCCACGAGGGCTACATGTCTGCGGAAGTGACTCTGTATGTCTGAGGGTCCAGGGGGCCCATTTCCCCTCCAGCCAGGTCTTCTGGGCGCCTGAGCCGGTGATCTCAGCACAGGCCAGGTGGTGTTGGCGCTGAGAGTCAGTGGGGCAGGTGTGTGCAGCACAGGGTGTGGTCACAGGAAGTCTGTGTGCCCCAGCCCCCCAGAGGAGGAGCGCACTCCAGCCCGACATGGATGCTTTCGTCCCAGGCATGTGCCGGGCGGGAGGAAGCGCCTGTTGCTTTAGCGATGTCTGGGCCAATAGGGCCACTGCCTCCTGTGATCCATCCCCAGCCACCCAGCCGCCATCGACACCCCGCACCAGGTGGCTGCAGATCAGATTTCAGGGGGAACAGCCAGAACCTGGAGGCCCGGGGAAGGCCCGGAGATAGGCTGGTGGGGCGTGACCTCATCTCCAGCCGGCTTATTAGGGGGAGTAGCCTGTGCTGTCACAGATCCATGCACTCCAGCTCCCCTGCCTAGCTGGAAACAAAAGTGGGATGGGCAAAGGTGATCTCACAAGCGCAAGCTTGGTCCCGTTCCCCAAGACAGTATTTTCCCCAGACTTTGTATGCTTATGGCCTGAGTTTTCTGCTCAGATTAGGTGTTCTGGAACCACGTGGTGGCAGCGTGCCCCCAGTGCTGATGGAATGCCAGCGTTGTAGGGGGTAATGTGAAGGATTTATGGAGCAACCTTGAATGATGAATTGACCACAGCAGGTGTCAAAGTGCTAAAGAAAGGATGGGTGACACCCTCTCTTTACCAGGCACAGTGCTGAGTGCTGCCGATGCAAAAATACATAGGATGTAATTCCTATCTTCAAGCGGCTCATGACCTCAGTAGGGAGAGAGGTAGCGAAATAGTGGTTACAATCCGATGTTCACGCCCTGCTGGAGGAAGCAGGGTGGGTCGCTCATGTCTCAGCACAGCTGTGCCGTGAAGCCTTCGCTCAGATGTCTGGGCCCAGGTGCAGGCAGGCGGGCTCAGCTGGGCTCACTTGCTTGCCTGGGAGCTGGCTGGCCAGACCAAGACAGCCTTGATGGGACAACAATGGAAGCGGCTGGGCTCTGCCCTGCACGCCTCTCACCCTCCAGCAGGCCTGTATGGGCTGCTTTCAAGACAATGTGGGCATGTAAGAGGCAGTGGCAGCCGGACGTGTGTAATGTTTTCTCCATTCATCTACGGAGGCTTGTGATGCTGGCCTCCATCTGTCATGTAGCAAATCCAGAGTCAGAATGTGAGGGAGCTACCGAGGCCCCTGGCCAGGTGTATGTATATTGTTGTTCAGTCGCCCAGTCGTGTCTGACTCTGTGACCCCATGGACAGCAGCACGCCAGGCTTCCCTGTCCCTCACCATCCTCCGGAGTTTGCCCAAGTTCATGTTCATTGCATCAGTGATGCCGTCCAGCCATTTCATCCTCTGACACCCTCTTCTCCTTCTGCCCTCAATCTTTCCCAGCATCAGGTACTTTAACGAGTCATCTGTTCCCATCAGATGACCAAATACTGGAGCTTCAGCTTCAGCATCAGTCCTTCCAGTGAATATTTAGGTTGATTTCCCTTAAGACTGACTGGTTTGATCTCCTTGCTGTCCAAGGGACTTTCAGGAGTCTCCTCCAGCACCACATTTCAAAGACATCAATTCTTTGGCATTCTGTCTTCTTTACAGTCCAGCTCTCACAATCAAACATGCCCACTATATGTATATAGGGAGAGGTTAAGATTTGAGGTCATGACTGTGTCATTCTACCATGCAGGGAGACTATGAGAGCTTTAGGGGAAGGCCTTCACCCAGCCCCCAATGGTCAGAGACTCTTCATGGAGGAGACATCTAAGCAGAGCCTGAAAGATCAAGTCTAGATCTGCAAGTAGTAGAGAGCGGAGGTGGGAGATTTCTCATGCACAGGGAACAGCATGTACGAAGCACAGAGTCAGAAGATTGCTAAGTAGCTGAGTATTTGGAGACACTAGGGCTGGAAATGAGGTCATTGACCACAGCAGGGGCCAGGTCACTGCCTTGCATGCTCCAGTGAAGAGCTAGGCATTTATCTCCAGGGCAGGAGGCATCCATGAAAATTTTGAGCAAAAAAAGAGAAAAAGTCAATCAGATTTGTGTTTTTAAAAGATAGCTGTGGCAGAAGAATATGGTATAGATGGGAAGGGAGGGGGTCTGCAAAAAAGCATGAGTTGCAGTGAGAGATGCCTGGGCCTGAATCAATGTGTACCAAGAGGCTGGGGTGGGCCCTGTTTCCAGATGGAATGAGCTGGGCCTGAGCCCTGCCAGGTAGACTGGAGCTGGAAAAACAACAAAGACAGGAGGCCTGAGATTACCTGCTGACGCTTTGCACAGGATTTGCAATTGTTTTTCCCTCTCACTGTGTTAAATAACCCACTTTATGGTCAAGCTCCTCCCTTTTGTTGACCAAAGGAGTCTAGGTGCACAGTTGTATGGAGCTGGCTCTAGTCCCAGCCATACAGAATTGGACATGCCCCTTCCCCTCCTGAGCCTCAATTTCCCCACCTAAAATGAGACATTTTAGATCATCTCTCAGAGCCTTATGCCTTAGGTAGGCCATGTGCCTTTAGAGCCATGGTGCTCAAATGCCATGAAGCCATCAGACTGCTAAAGAATTTCCCAGGAAGCCTGTTAAAAACCCACAGCCTGGCTGTACCTCCAAGTGATCCTGATGCCATCCGGTCTGACTGGGCACAGCTGTGTCCCCAGGGCCTGGCATGGTGGCCCAGAGCAGAGAGGGGCTGGAGGAAACACGTGCTGACTCAGGTCCCAGCTCCTAAGCCCTCTGCCTGGTTTAAGGATGGCTCCTGGAGGAGGTGGCATTTGGATTGGGCCTTTATATCTAATGGGCTTTCTGATTCCTGGTTCATCTGTTTGTTTTGCTGTATTTGGGGTGCTTTTTGATTCCAAAATGAGTTTGTGCTTCTTCTAGAACAGAAGAAAAGAGGAAAAAAACTCGCCCATCGTTCCAAAACCCTGACACAACTAGGATTCCCTTTGCCACCTTCTTCGCTAAGCTGTTGATGGCCAGAGCAGGAGTGGGGACCAGTGAGGGCAAAGGGCTGGGGATGAAAGCAGGCTGAGTGTGGTGAGAGGCCAGTGAGTGAAGAGCGGAGGCCGTGGAGCATTCGAGCAGCACCAGCTCATGTCAGGCTCCCGTCATTCTGACACATCCTGTTTCAGGCCTGTGGCCCCAAAGCCCGGCGGGTGGAGGGCCCATCCTTGCGGGATCGGGGACCTCAGCCAGGGACTGTGAGTGCAGCCCTGACTCCTGTCCTCCCTCTGCTCAGGTGCTGTTCGCCCTAAACCAGACTCTGCTGCAGCACGAGAGCGTGCGGGCTGGGAGCCTGCAGGCGCCCTACACCACCGAGGACCTCATCAAACACTACAACTGCGGGGACCTCAACGCCGTCATCTTCAACCACGACACCTCCCAGGTGAGGCTCCTCTCCCCGGGCCCAGGCAGCTTCCAGGGCGCCAGTATAACCAAGGCTTCTAAGAAGGCGTTTATTAGACACCTACTGTGTGCCAGATGCAGCTGGTAAGCAGGAGCTCTTGGCATCCCTGCTACAGATGGGGAAACTGAGGCTCAGGGAGGGGAAGAGACTTGCTCAAGGCCACATCACTTTGTTGTTATCAAGTCGTCAAGAGTCCCACTTGAGCCTGGTATGTGTGGCTCTGGGACTTAGACTCTGCAAGCTTACCCTGTAAGAATAGGGAACCCTCGTCCAGGCTCTGTGCAGCATCTGGGAAGATTAAAGCCCAGGGAAGGGAAAGCTCACAGGTGATCAGAGCTTGGGCTTGAGTCCAGTCCAGGGCGCTCTGCCTCGATTCGAGTCCTAGAGCAAAGATTAACCCCAGGCTGGCCAGACAGTAGGAGGGAGTCAAGCAGTGGACCATGGCTCCACCAGGTCTCCTGTTGCCCTTGGGATAATTCTAAGGTACTTCGTAGGCAGTCAGGACCCCCGTCTGTATCCCTCTGTGGACCTCATCACAGCCCAGGTTCCCTGCCACACAGGCCTCATTCTGAGGACCTCTGCCACTTGTAGCCCTTCCACCACCCCCACACACCTTGCCCTTTCCCACTGCTCTGCCTCTGTTCAGCCTTCTCCCTCCGGGTTTCCTCCCATGTGGCTGTGGTCTAGTGTCATATCTTCAAAACCACTCTGATGCCCTGGATGGAGTTAGATATTCTCCTGGGCCCCTCTAGGTCCCCTGTGCTTTCTGCGTCTGGTGCTCAGTTATCCATTCATTCAAGAGGCAGCTGAATTAGTCAGAACAGGCCATCTCTCTGCTCAGGACACTGCAATTGCTCCCCATTTTTCTCAGGGTAAAGCTGGAATCTCTGTGATGACCTGCATGGCCCCATGGTCTTTCACCGTGGTGGACCAAGTGTCTTTCACCCCATGTCCTCTGCCTACCCCAACACATCACTCCATCCACATGGGCCTCCCCGCTGACCCATGAGCCCACTTGCACACTTCGTCTTTGCACTGGCTATTTGCTCTGCCAGGAAGGCCTTTCCCAACCTCTCACCGTGGTTCACCACCTCTCTTCCTTCAAAATAGAGCTCAAATATCATCGTCTCAGTGAGGAAGGCCCAACTTCCTTGGCCTAGAATTGCAGCCTACCTCCCACCTCCCCACCTGTCGCCTTTCTTGTGCTCCGCTTTTCCGTCATGGCTTTTTATCATCTTCTCGCACACTTACATATCTTGATTCATCGATCAGTGATTATTTGTTATCTGTCCATTCCCACTACAGCATAAACTCTATGAGAGCAAGAATTGGGGTCTGTTTTATTCACTGATAATGAGCCTGGCAGAGAACAAGACTCAGTAAATATTGGGTGAATGAAAGAAATAATCTGTAAGTGCCAGTCACAGGGATATGGAAAGGGATATGGCAGGGAGCTAGAGAGAGCTGCCTTCATGGGACTGGGGGTCTCTTAAGAGAAAAGGGGAGATTCAACAAGCAGTGCCACAAAGCATGACCCTTGCCACAGGGGAGAGTAGAGGATGACCCTGGAGCCTGTGGCAGGAGCAGGAATTTAGGTGGGCTTGGAGGAATGGGTGGAGCAGGGCTGGGCAGAGATGGACACATTCCTGCAAGATGAAAGGTCAGAGAAGAAACCTGCCTTGGCCACAGATAGGAGGCGAAAGAATGTGCCAGTGGAGGAAACCATACGGATGAGCTGGAGGCAAGAGAGAGAGGGAGGAGGGGTGAGAGTTCAGGCTGGAGGCATAACCAGGGACCCCACTAGCACACGGGCATCTTACCCACCCTCGTCACTCTGCCCTGCGCAGGGGGTGGCACAGAGCGAATATCAGTGAGCGATGCCACAAGGGCAAACGCAGGCGTGCGCTGTCCTCGGTGCAGAGAGTGCAGGAGGCCCTGCACAGGAGGCTGGGATTCCTGGTGCTCTGACTCTCGCTCCCGAAGGTGAGAGGGAGGAGAACCCTGGCAGCACAGGGCTCAGAGTTGCATCACCAGCCAGTCACACCATGATAGCGCCTGGCCCTGCATCCTCTGCTGGGCAGAGGCTGATGAGCCCTGGGCAGCCAGGGAGCTGTATGCTTGAGGGGAACCTGGGGCAAGGAGTGTGCAGGACAGAGCTGTGGCCACAAAGCATAACACTCAACTGAGACGGGGAAGAGTGGGGCGACCCCCGGGCATGACAAGCTCAGAGTTTCTTTGCACCTGTGTCCAGAACCACTGATACATCTCTGGCAGGTGAACTGCCTTGGAGGGGGTCTCTTCACAGTGCCTATACTTGAAGTGCGTTAGAGGACACAGATAGATTCGCTCACCCAGATTAGAAGAGCAATCCAGGCTGCACCCAGGGTGCATAAGCAGAGTCTAGCCCTCACAGGAGGGACTAGGCAGCCCTGCCCCCAGACACAGACAAGCCTGGCATCAGGGTATCCATGCTAAATCCAGGGCCCATGCGCTAACAGAGAAGGGCTCTGCAGCTGGAGGCCTCGCAGGACCCAGGGGCTGGAGGGGAGCAGTCACCACTTGCAGCTGGTGAGGGCTTCAGGGAGAAGGTGATGTGAGAGTAGAGTCTTGAGTACCAGGCTTGACAATAGAGTCTGCCAGATGCAGATGAAGGCAGGGACTGGCAAGCAGAGCCAGCTGTGTGGCCAGTGCTCAGGATGGTGGAGGGTCCTGAGGAATGACCAGAAAGCAGAGGGCAGACCATGTGAGGGTGAGAATGCTCATTGAGGGGCCAACTTCTGGGGTGTTTAAGCCAGACAGAGATGTGATCAGAAAGTTTCCTCTGGCTGCAGTGCTGAGGTTGCTGGAGGATCCTCTGGAGGCCGGGGCTGGACTGATGCAGGGCCCAGGATGATAACTCTGGCGGACAGGGACCAGGCACACCTCACGCTTGGTCTGCTTCTTGATCTGCTTCACTTCATCCGCCTAACCCCACATCCCACCTTCAGAAATGGCTGAGGCCCTGGCCTCCCACCACTCTCCGATCACTAGCATTGTCGATGTCCCAGATCAGCAGGGCAATCCACTGGGAAGCCTTCTCTGAGCCCCCTAGCTTGCGTTAGGTGTAGAATAGTCATATATCATCCATATTCAGATACTTTTGAGAGTGAAAGGTCAAATATAATTGATTCAGAATAATTAGCATGCAGCAATCTACCCTAGCCATGAACCAGGACTGTCCTGGGCAAACCAAGACACGTGACCACCCTATTAGGGGCCTTGTCCATGTTCCCACATCACTCACTGTTCTCTGAAAGCACACATCCCCCAGTCTTCTGATCCCCACACTGGCCAGGAGCCTCAACCAGGGCAGCAGACCCAGTCTGATGTTTCTCTGGACCGAGGTTTCTCTGGCCTCCTAAGTGGACAGAGGGCTGGACCCATGGAAGTTCTTAGAAAATGTCTATTGGATGGATAAGGTAAAGAGAAGGGATGAGGTTGTGACATTAGCAGACCTGAGCACTTGACCTCTAAACCACCCAGTCCTAGCTGAGAGTCAGGGGAGTCTCACGGCCCTGTTCCAGTTCTGCCAGGCCCATCTACTCATCACTCCATCTTGGATCCATCATTCTAGGACCCTGGGGACCTGGCACATCCTCTTTAAAATTTTTTCATACGTCCTGCACTTGAACTTGTCGCAAGAGATTTAAGGCTCCCAACAAACCTAATGACATCATTAATTTGCTTCCATCCAGACTGGCCTCATCCTTGGCATGAAGCCAGGGCCCATCAGCATGAAACATGCAGAGAATATCAGCCAGCTGCTGGGCAGCTCAGGGAACCGAATGGCTAACCCAGCCTTTTCACAGCTTTGACATTGGACTTTCTGGTTCTTGTTCTTTTTTAAAAAGAAAATCTCTATAAAGAATAGATGGAGATTCAGCTTCCACAGATGCACACTCATACTTAGGGAGACAAGGAGAGAGGGCTGGACACATCATAGGTCCCAGGAAGAAGGCATATGCCTGGATCCTTGGAAGAGGAGAAGGGAAGCGGAATGCTGCCTTTGTGGTCTCTGATGATCCTGAAGACCATCTTTCTGTCATCTCCATCTCTGTGCAAGGCCACCATTTTCTGTAGCTTCTGCCATCAGAGGGGAAAGATGAAGGAGCCAGCTCCATCCTCTGCATTAGTTGTACTGATGTCTAGTCAAGATTTCCTTTCTACCACGCACTGTGATAAGCTAGTTGTACTGATGTTTAGTCAAGATTTCCTTTCTACCATGACAATGTATATAGCGCTCATGTGACCAATTTAGAAACTGAGTCTCAGAGAGGCCAAGTAACTTATAAGTTACAGTAGCCCCCCAACTGGTAAATGGCAAAAGAGGGATTCTAGCCTTAGCTGACCCGGCTGTCTGACCTCAGGACTCCCATTCACTATCTCCAGAGCTGTTGCCTTCAAGCCTATTCATTCATCCACGCATTCACCCATTGAAAAAATATTTATTGTTTGGTACAACATTGTCCCACATTCTCTTCCATACACAGGGAATGGAGAGGAGCCTGTGAGAGCCATGTTTCCAGAAATAACCCCTCGGAGTCAGTCTCTCTTGTGCTCCAGCCCCACTCAGAGGTCTGAAGAATTTCCTATAGCGGCATCAAGTCCAGGCGTGGCCCAATTTGTCAGGGATGCCGAAAGTCTCTCCCATGATGAGGGGAGGGAGTAAGAACTCCATTCCCTCATGTATCCATTTACCAAACAGTCCCCAAGCACCGACTCTGATGGGGCACTCGGAGAGTTGCTGCATACAGTTCACCAGGTTGTGCACTGCTCAAGTGTAGGGAAGGCAATGGCAACCCACGCCAGTGTTCTTGCCTGGAGAATCCCAGGGACGGGGGAGCCTGGTGGGCTGCCGTCTATGCGGTCACACAGAGTCGGACACGACTGAAGTGACTCAGCAGCAGCAGCAGCAAGTGTAGGGAACACCAGTCACATCATTGTCGTGTTCCTCCCGGCACAGCATACCAGGCCTTTCTGGCAGAGAAGACCCTCCCCTCTCTCTTGGGGAATGTACTCATCCTTGGCCAGCAGACAGCAGAGGCAGAGGTCTCCCAGCCTCCCGAGTCCCTCTGGGTTCAGCCTCCACAGATACCAACATTTTCCTCAGAAAGAGGGTTGAAAACTCATCAGTGACTCTAGAAGCCATGTGAGTGGGCTAAAACCTGCAGGAAATTAGTCTTCCCATGCCACAGTCTCCATCTGGCTAGTCCACCAGTCATCGAGGCCTTGGGGCCTGTGCTTTGGGCCTGGGTTGGTGGAGACAGAGTGATGAAAGGGGGGCCTCCAGGTGGAAGACATTCTGTGAGCAAGGGCTTGAAGGTTACAGTGACACCAGTGGGTTGTGGGGAAAGAGGGTTCATTCTGATTCATGGCCTCAGGTTCCTCGGTCCGTGGCTTCCCCTCCTGCCTCACCCACATGCTGAAAGACACAGTACTGGAGCCCTGGATCCACCATCCAGGTTAGAGAGGCAACACGCTGGGAGTGAGGAAGGATGGTACATCTCTATACTCAAGGCTCCAGAAACCTGTGCCGGTCACCGACTTTGTGCTGAGCATTGAGGGCCTAGGAATGACAGCTGTGCTGTCCCTGAACTCAGAGAGCTCTGTACCTCGTTCAAGAACATGTCAGAGATGCTGGCCTTGGACCACGTGGCTGGGTGTGGACATGGGGCTGAGAGCCAGGAAATATGGATAGTTCCAAGCCAGATTGTTGAACAAGCCATCATTATGGGAGGAAGCCTTGGTCCTGGAGCTGAAGTTTTCAAGAAGGGATGGAGGGTTTGGGTTATACCCTGGGAAATGGTGGAGCTGGGGATGGGAAGATAGTGGTGGCAATGGAAAGTGGTCAACCAGGGCTCATACACTGGGAAACCAAAGGCTATGACTCCTCCTGGAAACTCTTTAGAGGGGGATGGGCTAAAAGGTGTCCACAACAGCACCCATCATGTCATGCAATCCCCCACAGTAGCCTCAGTCCCACCTTATAAATGAAGAAACCGGGACTCAGAAAGGTTTAGTAACTTGGCCAAAGTCCCACAGCATCAGACCAGGGCTGAAGCCCAGATCAGCCTTTCTGTTATAACAGGCAGGCAGCTCAGCTGACCTGCTACACCTGCTTGCTGAACCAGATTCACTGTTCATGCCAGTGACAGGGTCAATGCCACAGGGAGAGCCTCCCAGGACCTCAGTGTCTGGAAGCTGAAGTTCAACAAGGCAGAGGCGCAGGAGTGATAAGTTGAGTGAGGGCAGCAGCTGGGGCTCCCAGCCTGGCTCTGCTATTCAGCTAGCTGTGTGACTCTCCACCTGCCTCTGGACCTTTTGCTCTTCTTCCTTTATTCATAAAACTGGGATAACAGCAGTCATCTCAAAGCATCTTGGAATTGATGAAAAACATCAAATATCTTAATAAAGGTAAGTAGCCCAGACAGTAAAGAGTCTGCCTGCAAAGCAGGTGACCCAGGTCCAATCCCTGGGTCAGGAAGATCTCCTGGAGAAGGGCATGGCAACCCACTCCAGTATTCTTGCCTGGAGAATTCCATGGACAGAAGAGCCTGGCGGGCTACAGCCCATGGGGTCCCAAAGAGTCAGACATGAGTTAAAGAGACTAACACTTTACTTTTCACTTCAACCTGGCCCCACACTGGGCTGTGTGTGCTTATTAGAAGCCCTCCTTGCTCCAGAAAGAACTGAAGGCAGCCTCTGTCTTGCCTTTACAGCTGCCCAACTTTATCAACACCACCCTCCCGCCGCACGAGCAGGTGACGGCCCAGGAGATTGACAGCTACTTCCGCCAGGAGCTCATCTACAAGAGGAATGAGCGCATGGGGAGGAGGGTCATGACGCTTCTGCAGGAGAACGAAGACAAGATCTGCTTCTTTGCCTTCGGAGCAGGTTTGGGCCGGAGTGGGGAAGGGATTGTCTGCAGAATCCTTCAGGGCTGAGAGACTTGCTGGGCTCTCTACTTTATAAAAGGAAAAGTTGAGGCCCAAAATAAGCAGGAAAAGCCACCTAGTGTTCAGCAGAGCTGGGATCCAAAGCAAGTCCTCCGCCTCTGGTCTAGGGTTCTGTTGTAACAGCCCCCATGGGCAAGGGCAGTGACTGCTGCCAAGAGCAGGGTGACTTCTATGACCCCTTCATGCCCCTGGAGGCCATATTGAGAGGCCAGAGCTGAAGCCAGCTCCCAGTGTCCAGCCCAGCCTTGGGCCCACCCTGCGGAGCCAAGGCCAAGATGGTGAGAGCCCCGTGGCCCAGTGGGGAAGAGGGCAGCTCTGGTATCCCATAGCCCTGGCTTCAGATCCCAGCCCCCTCTGGGTGGCATGGCCTCCTCAGGCTCCAGGACTTCTCGAGGCTCAAGTCTCTCTTCTATGAACGGGCAGTGATGGCAATAATTATGTGATGAATCAAAAAGACCTACCTTCCCAGATGACTCTAGTGGTAAAGAGCCTGCCTGCCAATGCAGGAGACACAGGTTCAATCCCTGGGTCAGGAGGATCCCCAGGAGAAGGGAATGGCAACCCACTGCAGTATTCTTGCCTGGAAAACCCCATGAACAGAGTAGCCTGACGGGCTAGAGTCCCTAGAGTCAGAAAGAGTCAGACATGACTGCAGGAACTTGTCACACACTCACGCCTTGTAGAACAGTCACAGAGATCAGTACCACGGAGCAGTAACTCATAACGGCAGCCAGAGTTATCGGCGTCATCATGATGATGGCAGTGAATACAGACTTTATCATCACCAGATGCTCAGGTGCGGGACCTGCTCAGCATCGCTCTCCCGGTTCCTCTCTTCTCTGCCTCCTGCTGCTTCTCTCTCACTCTTTCTTTCCTTCTTTTCCATGGCTGTCTCTGCTGAGGACAGAGCTGTCCACGTTGGGGCCAGGATACCACGTCTGCCTCCTTGTCAAGCTTTCGCTCCAGAGCTATAAGACAAATGTTATTTCTTCTTATTCATGTTGCTTACAGTTTGGGCTGAATGAATTCACCTCCTGTTTTGTGAGAATTAAATGAGGTGGTTGGCTGCGCTCTCTCCCCTCCCTACCCTGGCTGAATACCCACATGCTGCCTGCTTACGTCAGGCTGAGTTGGATCAAGCCAAGCAGTCTATCTAACACAGAAGGGCTTGTATGAACATTCTGATTCATAATTGGAAATCTTCCCCATCCTCACTCATTCAACCCCAAATAGCTAAAAGACAAGAGCCAAGGCTCATGTGTCTGCACCTGTCTTCCCTCCCTGCAGCCCTCAGCACAGGAGAGACACACGGGAGGGCCTCAGAAACATAAGACTTCTGTGATGGCCTCTTTCGGGCCACACATACAACTGGACAGAGAGTTCTGGGCTCGCACTGAGGCTGTGCCATGGTCCACTGTGGCCTCTACCCTCCCCTCCCCGGCCCCGGCAGCCAGTTTACTCATCTTTTACTATCTACTCATCATGAGTAGATAGCCAGGACTCAATCATGTCATCTGCGATTCCAGGAGCTATTCAAACACAGATTTATGAGAAGGGAGGGTTTCCTGTAGGGGTGGGAGGGGCTTCCTGAAGGAAGCAGGAGAAGCAGGACTTTGACTGCAGGACTCCTGCTGGGGACCTGGCACAGTTTTGGTGACCATGCAGGAAAGGAAGTGCTCCCCAAGTTCCTTTTCTGAGCCCCTCACTCATCATCCTCGCCCTCCCCCCATGGGCATCTGGGTAGTGCTTCCTGGGCTAGAAAGACCCACAGCTGACCACAAAAGAGGAGCCACTCAGAGCTCAGCCAGCCCCCAGGTTCCCCCACTGGCCCAAGAGAAGCCCTAGAGAGCCCAGTCATTGAGGGAGGCCAGTAAGGGACCAGCATTCTGCACGCTCCACCTGCCTCACCTGTCCCTGGGCTCAGGACCAGGCACTCATGGGCCGGGGCTAGCTAACAGCAGCTCCTTTCTGTGGGTGTAGGAACAGGAGAGCCTAGAGCTAAAAATCACAATGGCCTGGGCAGCCCCTGACACTGAAACCCCAAGACCACGAGGGCACAAGTGTCCACTCAGGCACAGGCCAGCATGCAAGCCTTCTGCCCACCTCCAGTTTCTTCCCATCTCTGAAGTCCTTCTGATTCCTTGTCAGTTCTTTGGACAGACCGCCCAAAAGACCTCACACCTGTCTACTCTATCCATCCTCCCTGCCAGTGCCCTGGCCCAATCAGCTCCATCAGCTCCAGCCTCCTGGTCGTCTCCCTGCTTCCCGTCTGCTTCCCACAGTGGAGTGGGTGAGCGGTGCTGGGTCCGTCTCCCACCCTTGCCCTAAACTCCGAAAGGGCAGACTCCACTTACTCATCCCTGTGTTTTCAGTAGCACCTGATAGGTTTCCAGCTCGATGAATATATGGAGGAATGTATGAGTGAAGGCAAGAATAGATGGATGAATGTTGATCTGGTCTCCTGGGCCTGGAGAGCCTGGGCCAGGCCAGCAGTAAAGCCAGAGCAATGGGAGCCCCACCCAGGCTCTCAGAGACCCTGTGCCCTGTAGCAGCAGGCCCAGGGTGTGGGCCGATCTTGCCTCTTCTGGCTCAGCCATACCTGGAGCAGAAAGCCTGTTCAGTGCTGCACATTTACCCTCATCCTAAGAATTTCAAAGCTGGACTCAGCTTCCAAGCTCAAGCTTGCCCACCTCATCACAGCCATAGGCAGGCTGAGTTCCACAGGGGCCAGGATGTGGGTGAAGCTCATGGTGAGTTGGGGACAGAGCCAGGATGGGTGCCTGGGCCCAGAGCTGTGGTCAGGGGCTCTGCTCTCACAGGCAGGCAGGCAGGGAGCCAGCTGAGTGGACCTTTGACAGCCAGTGCGTCGGCATGGGACCCATCCTACATAACTTGTGGTGACAAAAATCCACGCCTGTCTCTCTGTGTCCTTATGTCCATGTAGCTCCCGAGTCCTGTGTCCTTTGGCAGGCTGAGGATGTACATGCAGGGACAGGCTAAGCGCTCTTTGGTGGTCTGCAAACTGCAGGTTCGCCCGTTCCACGGCACCCTCTGGGTTCCTGTTCCATTTCGGGCCTTCCAGGACCCCCGGGCACTGGGGACCTGAGTCAGCCTGACTCGCGGCCCATGCCCTGTCCGGCCCTCAAAGGAGGTGCAGGGCCCCTGAGGCTGTGGGAGGAAAGGTCTGTATACCTGGAAATATGCTTCTCTATACCCCAACAGGTGTCTGCTCGTGCAAAGTTTTCTCAATCCAGTTTCATGGATGTCCCTAGGAAATAGCTTACGATACAGAAATATAATTATAAGATTCCCAACCATCCCCAGCCCAGCCTTGCTGGTTCTATCACTCTACAGCCTGAGGTTCTGCCATTCTACAGCAAACCAGCCTCATAGGCCAGCCTCAGACTCTCTGGGTGAGAGAGAGAAAGAGTCTCCACCTGCCTGGTCCATCAGCACCTATCTTCCCCAGTTCAGCTCTGCTCTAGAACCCCTTCCTGGGAATCCAGAAGCACAGACTGGGATTCCCAATGCTGTAGGCCAACTGGTCTCTCCTCTGGTCTGCTCTCCAGGGGGGATTTGATGCAGAAGGTGAGAGCTTTGAAGTTAGTCTGCCTGATAAAAAGCCAGGCTTCATCACTGTTAATTCAGAGAACCTGGGAAAGTCATTTCACCTCCAAGACTGCAATCTCTCATCTGTAAAATGGGGATAATACACCTGCCTCATTGGACTGTGCTAGATGTGCTTTAGGTAGCAGCATTAAACTCTCTACTGCGGTGGATGGACCCTTATCCAAAAGGCTCTACTGAGGACTAGCCCCACCATTCCAGGCTCTTAGATTGCATCACCCCTGCTCTTTGCAATAATCCCATGAGATGGGAGCTATTATACTTACTTTGCAGGTAGAAATAAGGCCCAGGGAGGATGAATGGCTTCCTCAAGGCCACAGACAGGCAGACCTTCAACCTGATTCCTGGCCTCTTGGGTCTTCTTCCAGGCCATTCCCCGCCTACCCCCCCACCACCTCCCCACCCAACCCCACCCTGCCCCCCACTGCCCAGACATGGTGCCCTTGCTGTGTACTTCCAGAAAGGTTGACAATATTATGGGAAAGTGTCCTTCTATCTGGCACATCCCATAGAAGAGTACTGTCCTTGGTGTCTGTGATGTTTCTGTATCCAGGCACTGTTTGACCTCTTCTGGAGGTTATTTAGCAGGTTCAGGGGCAGTAAGGGTATGGACATGTGTTACAACTCTAAACAGGCCCAGATGGAAGCCCCGCCTCCCTGTGAGGTGGCTGTGGCCAGGGTGCAACCCCTTCTGAAAGGATCCAGGCCCCTGCATTGGAAGGGTGCATTGGCCTGGGGTTGAGGGAGAGAAGGGCTGATTCCCAAATGCCGGGCCCATGCAGTTTGGCAAGGTGAGCCTGAGGGTCCTCAAAGAGCCAAGTGTATCCCTGGATTTCCTCTGGTCTACACATAACTGAGAAAAATAAGTACAAGGTGGTAAATTTTTTATTAATGAAACATTCAGTTTATAGGCTTATCTTATATTCTGAAATCATCTTTCTACTGTGTTTGAAGATAAACATCTTTTGCTTTAAAGAAAAAATGATGGTGATATGAGACAAATGGGGCTTTCAAAGACCTTCCTCGGCAAAATGGAAAGTTGGTAACTGTATTATTTTTCCCCCTCACCCACTTTTTCTTAAGATAGAATCTGGAACAGAGTGCATAATGTAGGGGCTGGTTGGCAGACCTGGGCTGGAGACACGAGCCAAACTCAAGGGTAGACCAGTTAACCTGCAGGGCCTGTTCATTTTGAATTCTGACAGTGGTTGTCATATATCCTGTAACTCTAGCATGCAACAATCTGAATATAATACTAACTTGTGACTTTCCAAATTCCTTGGTCCCCAACATCCTGTTGTTCTAAGATTA